TCCAGCAGGAAGCGGCTCCCGCGGGCCGAGTCCCGGCGCTTCTCCACGTTCACGATCCGCAGGAGCGCGTAGCGCCTGGGAGGCGAGGCCGGGTCAGCGCCCCAGGGCTCCCCCCTGCGCCGGGAAGCCCTGCCTGTCGCCCCATCGCACCTCGCGCCCCGGGGGAGTTCCCAGAAGGGAGACCGGCACTTTGCCCCCTCCCAGGGCGCACACGGGGAGGCGGCCCCCCCGCCAGGCGGGCCGCTCTTCCTCTCGGGCCTTTTCCCACAGCCGTCTTTCTGACACGCTCAGAGCCCTCAGCGGCACCCACTACCACAGGACGAGATTCCAGGGTCTTAGGGAGGCATTCTAGGACCCCAGGCAGTCTCCTGCGCGAGGCCTTCAGTATCACTAGGCCAGCAGACTTTTTCTTCCCACCGGGTCTTGGTCCTGGGGTGTCCCTCTGGCGAGCTTGCCCCCACCCTCCCCAGCTCCTTCTAGGCCCCGGTAGCTCCTCTGAGAAGCCTCTTTTCCCTGCCCTGGCACCAGCCCAGGGGGCTGTCCTGCTCCCTGAGGGAAAAAGCCCCTGGGCCTGCCCCAAGCGGCCCTCTGGCCCCTTCCCCTCACTCCTCCTTGCTGAGCACCTTACTTTCCCTCCACTCTGCCCTCAAGCAGAGGCTTCTCCTGTCCTGGGAAAACAGGTCCTTAACCTTGACTACCCGTCTTCTTTCCACCAAGGTTCTGCCCTTTGCAGGCAGTGCCCCCACACTGGGAGCTTGTGTGACTTCCCGGGGTCCAGGCTCCCCCTTCAACCCCTGCCATCCCCACCACTTTCTCTGCAAAAGCCAGGGACTTTCTGCCCCAAATACTTTGGGTTTTGGGGCCACAGCCATGACCACTCTACCAAGCAGACCCCTGCGTGCTCATGGGACAGGCTGGTCCTCAGGCACCTAGAATCAAAACTCTCTCACTTCCAGAGTCCAGGCCATCCCGTCACTGCCATGGTCATGTCATGGTCACATCAAGCCCGCCAGTCCTAGTCCTTCCCCATGGCCTCCCCTCTTGTCCACTCCCCTCCAAGGCAGCAACATGCCCGTCTTCAGCCCACACAGGTGAAACCCCTGCCCTGCTCAAAACCTTGTATCACAGGCAAGAAAAACAAGTCCTGAGTATGGCTTTCAGGGCCCAAGACCAGGTTCTGCCCTCTTTCAATGCTAACTCCCCAATGCCTCCACTGAGGCCAAACTGGAGCCCCTGGGGCCTGGGTGAGACCAGGGGGCAAAGAGGCAGGAGCCCCTCGCCCTTCCCTGGAGTCGGGCGGAGGCCCTTCTTGGAAGGTCCAGCAGACCTGTGCCAGGAGAGGGCTCTAGGGGCTCTTAGCTCGACCTTCAAATGTGTCTATCTGGAGGAGGGGCCTGGGTGGCTCAGAGGCAGCTTTGGATCCACATCCAAGGTGGCAGGTTTGGAGGTACAGGACAGGGGTGCCAGCTGGGCAGGGGGTGGGGAGTGGGGGGTGAGGCTCCTAACGTTGGGCAGGGGCCCTGGGCAATCAGGGGGCCCAGAAAGGAGAGAAGACCCTTTCCTAGGGGGTGTGTATGCCACCTGCGGAGAAGGTCTGAGGGTCCTGAGGACGCAGGGTCTGCACCTCCGTGCCCCACCCCACCCCATACCCGCTGTGGTGCACGTTGAGCCGCTCCATGTACTGAGCCACCACGTCCACGGCCTCGGCCTCAGGCAGCTGCAGGTTCCCGGACACATTGCAGCGCAGGTCGTTCCAGTCGGAGCGCAGCAGCTCGAAGTCCACGGCGCCCACGCTGAAGGTGCGCTGCCAGTTGATGGCCTCCTCGCGCCAGCGGCCGGGCGCGGGGCCTGCGGCCTCCTCGCTGTCTTCTGACGCAGCCTCGTCGTCGGGGGCCCCCTCCTCCTCTTCCTCCCCCTCCTCCCCCTCCCCAGGCAGCTGCGGCCTGGACACCTGGGACCAGCTCAGGAAGGAGGTCGCTGGTCGCGTTTCGGAGGACGCGTTCAAGTTCTCCGTGGGCGCTGCGAGTCCCAGCGGCCGTGCCTGGCCCTCCCGGCTCCCCGGGGCGGCCTGTGCCCGGGCGGGGGGCCTCAGCTC